TCTTTTTTTTCAAACTCCATCATGAGCATTTTAAAGGGCCCCTGATTCAAACAAATTAAACCCAAACTGAATGGTTTCATTCTACTTTTAATGCATAAGAAATCAATGCAATGATGAATAACATGGCTCAACGTATGTTCTTTAAAATTCATAGATCTTGAGTGCATTGGCATAATTCTTGAATTTCATATAGAATTTCTGAAGATACCATATGGTTTAAATAAATATCAAACCCATAACTATGGTATACCTGGTAACATAGGTAAATGAATATGTGCATCAGTGTATTTTTAAAAATTTTTCTTGCATAAAACATGTCCCAAATACAGTATTAACTAAAAAATTTCTCTTTTTTTATGTGGGGTGGGAGGGGGGGGGAAAATTAGCCAACCCTTAATACCCCTTTTTGGGCCACGTAGATGGAGACACACCTTCTGTCTGCAGACCAAGCAGCAATTCAGAAATTTCTTTCAGAAGGAGTCCCCAAACTTCTGTGATAACAGCTTGGGGTAACTGCTCCACAACCTCTCCTAACCTGTTTCAACAGAATATACATGTACAACATACAATGGAAAAAAAATTCTTAAACAATAGATATGCATACTAAACACACCTTCCAACAGGCTGAATGAACATTTTTGCATCACATAAATCTTCAATTATTTTCTTCCCATTTAGTTGAAGATGAATCATGCTTTTCTTAAATTGATTCATCAGTTGTATATAAACTATTTCTAAGAAACTAAACAGGACAATGTCAAAAAGACAAAATGAGCTGCACACAAAATGACAGAAAATCTACTCACCGTAGAGCAGTCCCCTGGAGAACACTGGATCCTGAGAAAACCCCGCCCCTCTGACAGCAGTCAACAATAAACTCAGCAGCTTAGGAACCTGCCTCAGTTTGGAGTAAGTCTGAAGTAATTTGGCTAGAAAGCTATCCAAGGAAGTCAGTAAGTCCCTATTCAGCACCTATGTTAAAGATAAAGATATTCAGATAAGGTTAAACTTTCATTACTTGAAACATTTCAAATACTCGTGCATGGATATGTGACAGTGAGTTGAAAGTGCTATGTCTGTTTCCTTATTAGTCCCCTACCGGTGAAACCAGAGGAGACTATAGGTTTCCTGTGAGTCTGTCAGTCTGCCTGTCTAGTTTCCATCTGTCCCTTTGTCAGTCTGTCCCACTTGGTTTTCCACAATTTTTTTCTAAACGCTTGCAGATATTGAGCTGATTTTTTGGTATATGTGTGTATCTTGTTTTAATTTTCATTCTTTTTGTGATATGAAGAGGCCAATGAACTCATTCTTCCACAAAATGTAAAATTCAAAGTAAAAACAACTTAGCTCTTCTTAAACTGCAAAATCAAATCCCCAAGAAACAACTATATTTTAATCGAGCCACTAAATTCTGACCCCCTCAAAATAAGTGATTTTAAGTTATCTGCAAAATATGCCAAAATTATAAAGCCTTGTCCAAAACATATTGCTGACTTTAAAATTTCCACACTTGGCCTATTCACTTACCTCAAACCAGCCTGTTATAAATACTTCTGACATCTTAGTCTCTAGAATAGCATGATTTAAATTTCCCAAATAAGCTCTCCAAACAGGCATAAAACAATGAAGACCTACAAATTAAAAAAATTATACTGTAATAACCATATAGTAATTAGGAAAAGTAGACATTAATAACAAACACCGATCCTAAGAAAAATATCTCAGCTACAAAGCTACACAATGAATGTAAGAAATTTTCAGGTAATGAGCATCCTGAGTTACAGATTTAGATCAGTCAGTTTAAGGGTTCATTCCAGCTACTGGTACTTACTGTTTGCTTTGTAAAACATGAATCAGAATATGGCCGTAGAACTTGTATTGGATGTTGCCATCTGAGGCATCCTGGGGTTGACTGTAAATGTCATGCTTCAGTAAACTTCTCAACAGGGGAGATAACACAGCCACCACTTCCTGTTGATCTAACGATCCTCCCAGCTCCACACTGGAATCACTGATCCCGATGAGATGACAGATGTGGACAAACAGGTGGAATCCCGTCAGCGCTTTCTCTCCATGACTGTAATACACAATAACACTGTAACTAAGTCAAGTCTCTTTACCTAGCAAAAATCATGACACTAAGCCACCTTTAATGTGTGCCGAATGTGCTCTTAAAATTTTCCCCTGTATCAAAAAAAGGGAAAAATCATTTAAAATTTTTTCAATTGAGTAAAATAAAATTTTTTTTTAATAAAAATTCATTACTGTTTAATACATGTTACTCGGGAAACAAAAAATAAAAATGTAAGAACTGAAATTCTAAATTAAAATAAAGATGGTTTTCCTTTTCAATGTTTTCAAATAAAAAAAATTTTATTTTTCCCTTTTAAAAAATAGGGGGGATGTTTACATGTAAAAATTTTAAATTAATGCATCAAAAATTTATGCTTGAACACCATTTGAGAACTTTAACCCATTTTTTTTAAACTTACCCACTTCTGTGCAGGAAATGGTCAAAGAAGCTACCAGGTACTGACTGACAATCTTCTGAGTATCTGTGTCATTCCACTGTTCCTTCTAAATAAGATACTAAATTACTGCAGAATACAATCCATCATCAACTGTCAATGTAAAAAAAACAAAATGTTACATCTGCCTTTAAATAAAATATATTAAAGTTACTTTGAACACAGACACTGAGTACATGTAATACCCTTTCTTTACCAGTAAACAAGACCTAACACTCACTTTTCAATGCCAGTGGAAATGTATCGAACAAAAAAAATCAATATAAAAAAATTATAATAAATAAATCATACGTAAAACAATAAATAAATTGAACTGAATATTGTGTTTTACCTTTTTGTTAAGAAGACTTGATAAGGAGTGAAACAGGCTCTCGATTGTCTTAGAGATTTTGTGCTTTCTGTCGTCTTTTCCTGCTACAGCTGACAGGAAACTCTCATAGAAAGGGTGGTGTTCTCTGTGTAAACATGTAAACATCAAAGTTATGGACAAAAGAAATGTAGATACTTCTGAGTAAACTTCTGGATCATATGAACCTTTGCATTTAAAATTATAAATGTATATTCTATGTCAAGGAAGGAAGAGAAAATTTAATCTTTAATTACCCTAAACAATACTTTTATTTAATTAAATAAAATTTAACATGTTAGCTTTAACAGCAGGTTTAAAAGACATCAGCATTTAGAATTTGAAAAAAAAAAGAATCATATTTTAAAGAAAGTTAGTTCAATTTGCTATAGTAAAAAGATCTATAACTCTGTTGATACTGTACCTATGAAACAATGCCTGATCAAGGATGCCATTTAGATTCTCCACCGAGTTTTTAAGCTCTGGACATTTCTCTGCCAAACTTCCAAGCAACAAAGTAGAAATAAGTAACCGTTCAACCACAGACTGGAAAACCTAGAATGATCAACATACAGACATTATATAGAATACCCACATCATGTTTTCTCTTTTTTCATTTTCTTTTTATTCAGGGATTAGAACTCAATCTAATCCTCCTACTATAACATCAGCTAACAAATATACATAGACATTTTGTTGTTGTTGTAAGGACTTTCGGAGTAACAGGACGTATAATTTCAGCTTGCAATGCATATTTTTCTTTAGCTAATAAATAGTTAACTTCATAAAAATAACATCTTTATTTAAAACACATTATTAAAAATGTATCGAACAAAAAAATCAATATAAAAAAAAATAAAATAAATAAATCACTGTAATAAAATAAATAAATTGACACTTAATTTTCATGGGATAGTCAATATCAATAACTCTTTATTAGCGAAACAAAACTTTCATGGATTATGGGTATTGCTCTATAATCTTTAAGAATACTAATATATCCAAAACTTAAATTTTCTTGAATAAACTGTTTCATGTAATTATGCAAAAATAAAGTTCTCATGCATAAAAAGTGGTTTACAGTATTAGAATAGAAGGAAACTGCAGCTTTGACTTTGTCTTAGTTAATATTTCTCAGAGAGATATATAACTGATACTGATTGTGTCAAAAATGTATGAACCTATCTGTTATTACAACCCATAGTGTTCTTTTTTTAAAAACAGGATGCTTATTATATTTACCGTGAAATAGCTCTATAAATCTTTTTTTTGATGCTTTAAAAGTACAGTGAATTCTGAAATTAATTTCAGTGTATCTTACTTGCTACTCTTTTAATCCTCTGTGTGCTGCTCTGTACACTTCATTACAATAACATATATATTTCACAATAACATACTATGAAATCACTAATTTTCATGGGGGGGGGGGGGGGTAATTTTCGTTGTTTTCAGGGTATGAAGAGACTTATGAATTTATGTCCACCAGGAAATGCAATTTTTCAAATATATCACTACTAAACAATTCTTCAACCATGAAATCAATTCCCCATGAACCAACATATTTTCATCAAACCACGAAGACTTGACCCCTCGAAAATATGTGATTTTACAGTATCTATTTAACCTGTTGACCTACCTTTGTTTGCTGTGGGTGTGCCCTTTGAGACACACTGTAGGTGGCTGTACATTTCTGTAACAGCTGAATAAGATCAGAGGAAACCAGTCGTCCATCCTGGATGGTTCTCACAATTAATAGCGATACATTGCCCAGAAACTTCACCTGGAGATAGAAAATATTGTAAGACTTTGTTATTTTTTATCCTCCTTTAAAGAAAATGTTCATACTCTACATAAATCACACAGCTACATGTATACTGGAATTACAGCTTGTGAATCTTTCATATCTTTAAAATTTCTGAGGAGTATGTATTGTAATTTAAATAAATGCTTGAATACTGTTTATTGATATAAAACTGTCTTAAAAGCATTGACTGCTGGGTCATCGTTATTTTAATTTAAGAACAAAAAAATTGAAAATTTGAAAATCAGGATAAATTTAAATAGTACAATCCTCAGTTTAACTTGGACTTTTAGTAAGGTGTGGCATTCTCGACGTTACATAATTACCATCTGAAATTTACACAGCTTTCATTCACTGTTAAAATATATATGGGATAGAAATTTGGTGAATGTCAAAGAGTGTAGAAATTAACCAATACAGCTTATTGTACGGCAAACAACAATTTAAAGTTCCTGATGTTATTAATTCTTTAACCAGTGAGAATCTATTCTATTCGCCAGGGTTCGACACTAACGGTAGACCGGTGGCCCGAGTCCACCAAAAAATTGGAAGGTCCACCAAATGTTCAGGACTAGGTGGACCGTCGGTCCACTTAAAATCTATACACCATATTTAAAGACAGTGAAAAATTCCAGGGTTTCTTTTTCTTTAAATCGAAATCCGTAACTCAAATTATTAATTCCTCCATACCTTTATTATACAAGAATTAAATATACATGTAAAAAAAATATTTAGGTAATGAGGGGGGGGGGCAAATAACTCGATATATTTTACATGTAAAATTGATAACTCCAATATTAACAATAATATTGAGACGCAAGAGCATTCAACTGGTCCTTGAATGAGCATGAAAAATCCGTGACAAATTAGCCAGTCTCTCCTCTGTTTACGTAATCCACAGAAAGGTGTGAAAATTACACTGGGTAACAGGAAATCGCTTCACGCCTGAACGCACACTGTTGGAGATAATTAGAATTGATTGACAGCTGCACTTATGCATTGTTTTTTTAAATAGATGTTCAAACAGGCGTAATTTACATTAAATGAACTATTGCAGTTTCATTTTCTTTTCTTGATATACATATTATATCACTACTTATTCGAATAAATAATAAATTTAAAAAATAATTAATTAATACAGATACATGTACCTATGTCAGTTTTGCACCGTAGTAAAAAAAATGATCTAGCCATGGATACATGAAAAATTCACTTGTTTAATAATTGAACGAATTAATTAATAATTGGAGTTTTAAATTTAATCTACCTGTGGAAGTGAAATAAATGCAGGTTTTCACCATTGTAACTTAATGATAATTATTAAAATATTTCTTTGGTTTATAGATTAATAGTTTTTTTTAATTTTTACAATATTTCTGATAAAAAAAAATCTGACTAGTCCTTAATATTGATTTGATTCTGTTGACTGGTTAGATTTATGCTTTATTGGTCTGTCTGGTATCGATATATATTAAAGTTAGTTTTAATTAATGCCTTGTGTAATGTTTCATTCATTAATTCAATCATTTATAAAGGTCCACCAGATATTAAGAAGGTCCACCAATAATTTTTGACAAGTGGACCTGCGGTCCACCAAGGTAAAAAAGTTAGTGTCGAACCCTGTTCGCCATTTGACAGATGCTTATTGAGTAGCGCCAAGGATGCCACGCCTTACTGAAAGTCCAAGGTTAACTGAGAATGGTACTAATGTGTTCTCAATCTTGATAGTAACAAGAAAACATTTGCGATATCTGAAGATTGGGCATATCCAGAGGAAAATTATTAAAAAATATATTGTTGGAACTTTCAGATCACTTAAACATATTTTTGCCATTTGAAATATCAGTGTTTGAAATACCAAAGTTCAACTGTATTTGTTTTCTAAATCTTGGAGTGTAATTCTGGGGACAAAATTCAAATATTTGATCACTGTCTCATTTTTTTTTTCAAAACATAATAAATGAAAACCATACAAAAAGGTTGTAAGGGTGAAGGTTTCAATGGTTTTCCCTAATGAACACAAAGGCAGAACTTGGCTCCTGTGTAATTGTAATAAAGAATCAGTACATGCACAGAGCATAGATTCTTTCCTATTTGTTCACAAAATTATTCAAAAAAAATCCCAAGAGATAGTCTAAAGAAAATAAAAATACAAACCAGAAAATCATATTTTGAAGTAAAGACGTAAGATAAGGTTGGAGACTTTATGATGGCTAGGGCACATCCTACAATGTTTGCTGTACAGCCCGAGGTCTTCTCATACTCCAACAAAATGCTGTCACATAAGACCTACAAAATAATTTTCTAAAATAACAGGGGTATTGAAAAGTTCTGAAAATATTTTCATAAAAAGTCACTCATCTAACAAAAGATAATGAGTTTGTCATCATTGATAAAAATTTTACTTTGCTGAAATTATCTTTATTTTAGTTTAGTCATATATGGTCAATTTACCACACATTCATCAATATGCAGGAAATCCAGAGGGTACTTAAAGTGCCCTATTATTAGCAGAGTGAATTTAACTGACAAAAGAGAGCAACAAATGATATTACATAACACATGTGAGTCTTAGTAAGACAATTGTTGATATAATAAGGTCAACATTTACCTAAAATAACATCTATAATATCTTTACCTGACTTATGGAGGGCTTGATGATGAGAGTGTGTCGGAAATTAGCAGGTACATGACATTTTTTCGTCTGTAGAATTTCATACAGACACCTCCACACAAGACCTGTCTCATCCTCTGTCACGTTACTCCTGTGTGGCATTCATAAAACATGAAAATTTTGAAAATTATGTGATTCGGTGTAAATCTAATATTTTTAACAGTTCTTGAATGCATTTACTGTGATACTTAGTTGTTGTTCTTTCAAAAATTTGAAATCACAATTAACTTTAACCGATGAAAAAAGAAGAAACTGAAAAATAGTGAAAATATATTACATACTAAACTCTTTACTTTTTGATTGATCAGCTTGATACTAATATCTTTTTTTACATTGAATCTATTTACCTTTTCCTGTTTAAAAGAAGACCGCCAAGAAAATCAATGAGGACTTGTTCTTTGTTTGGGAAAATGACTTTGTCTGATAACCAAGCAAATTTAGTCAGCTTCAGGCGATCCTTGATGTCAGTACTTCTGTCTTTAAGCTTTGTATAAATTCCTGGGAAAAAATCATGAGTTTGGATAGTTGCTTTGAAATCAATCATTAATAAAATGATGCAATATGTGCATCTTTTGTGTATCTATTTATTATATTGACCTTGTCCCCCTCCTGCCTGTTCTGGGAACTATCTCTGACACACATTGTTTTGATCTAGTACAGTAGTACCTTATCAAATAAATTAAAAATACTGACAAGTTAAATAAGTTGCACACATATTCCTTTTTGAAAATAACTTAAACCAGGAATCTTTAGATAGTATTCTGTACATAGGACACGGCTCCCGTTTATTTGTATAAAAATAAAGGAAATTCGGATTGCAATGTACAGTTTATGTTAGGCCTTATTGCTCAAATAAGACAAGAAGCACATAAAAGTTTTAGGTATATTTTTATTCTTAGTTGTTTGTTGAAACATCTTTTACCTTAATTGTTCTGAAAAAAATCTACACGATGGTTAAAATGTTGTAAACAAAAACCCCATGTGGAACACAAACCTGAGTAAATGTTTGCCATAATCCAAAATTATCTCCATACACAAGAGAGCAACTTCGATTGGTTGGAAAAATTAGAGTGCTCTCCCGTTGATCATTAAACATTTGTTAAAAGGTATTTTTTCTTGTCATCTCAGTTTTTTAAACAGTGTAATTTCATTTATTCTACTATTGGCTTGAAAAGATTGATTTTCTGCGATCCTGTTGTAATTTAACTGCCATATAGACTTGTTTTCAGCACTGTAAAGGTTCTACCAAATTACAACTTTTATTATATGAACATATGAAAACTTGAAGTGAAAAGTTATCAAAAATAGAAGTGCACAAAACTGCAAAATGCAGATCAATTTTGAAGCGAGGAATTTGTTGATTGGATTTATAGAATAATAGTAAAATGAATTTCTTTCCAAATTGTACCGATCTTGTAGAGTAGGCTTTCCCCCTAACCCCCCCCCCCCTTCCTGGAAAACTGGCTCTAGAGTAGGATTCCCCCCTGGGATTTCCCTTACGGAAAACTGATTCTATCTAGAGCAGGATTTCTCTTACGGAAATCCCACACCAGGGTCAATTTTCCGGGGGGAATCCTACTATGTGTAGTAGTTATAGAGTGAGATTTTTCCCCAGAGCCAATTCCCCCTATAAAATATAATTGCTGTACTTATGTTTTGAAGGGGAGAGGGTCGGTACATTGTTACAAGGTTCCCATCTTTATAATGGTGACCAGATGTATTGAATACGAAGAATGAAAATGAAAATATTATATTTCATTTTTCTCAGCAACTGTAAAACCATTTTTTTAATCAAAGAAATCGGTGAAACCAGAGGAACTATAGGTTTACTCCGTCCGTCTAACTAGCTGTCCCTCTGTCTGTCCCAAACGATTTTCCGCACTTTTTTTCCTAATTGTTTGAAGATGTTGAGCTGATTTTTTTTGGTATGGGAGTGTATCTTGATGAGTTGAAGTTCAAGGTTGCATTTTTTTCAACTTCAATATTTTTTTACGGAATAACGACCTTTCGGCTTTTCAAATTTTTAGGGTTTTCCGCAATGTTTTACTAGATGAATGGAGATATAAAGCAAATTTTTAAATTGTGAATTTCCAGTTCGCATTTCGTTCCACTTACTAGTAAATGAATTTACGGAATAATGGCATTTTCAATTTCTAGCTAGACTACACTTGCCGGTAGGGGACAAGTGTTGATAAATAATGCAATACTCTCAGAATTGTTGTTTCATTGTACAATTAAAATATAACATGTCAAATACGAAAATACTTAAGGATAAATACACAAACAAACCTTTTTCTTTCACAATTCAGATATCTTTGCTAAATTAGTTGCCTCTCTCAATGTAGAAGTGATATTTCTTTAGTTTGGCTAAGCCAAATACATACTATGATTATAAAATTCTTACTATATAGGTCGAAAAACACTCATTTACCACTTAAAAATCAGTTTGTCATTTACTTCTTTCATAAAAATATTGCGGCTGTGGTTTATATTGACTTTATAACAAGTGGGGAAATCCAACTCTGAGAAAGAAAGAGGGGATATTTGGCTCTGGTGTGAGATTTTCCCTCGGGGGGAAATCCTACTCTGAGAAAGAAAGAGGGGACATTTGGCTCTAGTGCTTGGGAAATCCTACTCTAGAGTACAATTTCCGGGGGTGAAAGCTGAATATGGGGGAAATCCTACTCTGACAACGCCGGGTCAAATCCGCTCCTCTCAGCTTTTATCAGTTTATGACATACAGGACGCTGTTATCAGTGTTAATACTGAAATGAAAAAGATGAATATAATGCACAGTAATCGAAATTAGAATAAAAGAAACTAAAATCAATACTTATCTGTGAACGGGGCATTAAACATGGATCCTGGAAATTCCATGCAGAGGTGGGATCAACCTGGATCAATTTCAATTAAACCTGGCAAAGCATATCCTTGGAAAAAGGGAATTCAAATGGAGAGATAATTAAGAAAATCAAGAAAATTGTGAAAATTGGATCAGGCCATTTAAAAAAAAGCGTCCTCTCTTGAACCACCTGGCCAGAAAAGATTCAAATCTCATAATACGAAGGCTTTCTGAAATAGCGTAGATTCAGATTTGTTCAAACCATGACCCTTGGGACAGGATGGGTTCACTATGGGCAGAGAAAATTTTACATGGGTATCAAATGAAATCAAATTTTAAAAATATTCTTCTCATAAACAGCAAATTCATCACTGGTCATATTTATATGAAAGCATCCCCAGGAAGTGTAGATTTAATGACCCAAGGGGTAGGGTGGGTCATAAAATGACCATTAAAGTTTTACCTGGGTTTAAAATGTTTGTAGGAAAAATCTTTAAGAATCTTCTCAAGAACATCAAACAGCTATTTATATATGAAATAAATAGACGTAATTACAAGATCTAAGTAATTGTATTACAAGATAATTTTCGTCTCTTTTGTGAAGTCTAGCTTTCCCAGTGCAACGTGCATCTGGAAATGTACGAGTATATTACACGATGAACGTGGAGCCCCTGGGCGTTCCTAATACTCTATGACTAAGTATGTTTTCACATTGTTGCAAACTTTGAACACAATTACGCTGTACTGCACAGAAGCCGAAATATTCTGAAAAAAACATGCCTATATGTTTATACAATACAAAACACACATCATTCGAGACTCAGAGGGTCTTATCAATATGTTTCAAATGCTTAAAAATCATCACGCACACAAGTCCTATGTATTCTCTTCCAGGTTTTCAAAAAGATAATTAACTAATGCATTACAGGTTCATATTATTCTGGACACACTAGCTGAGAACAAGGCCGGATTTCGATCTGTCAGCCTCTGTCTTTGTCCGGTGTCTCTACAGACAATGAATGACCAGTTACAAATAATAGCCACCAAGAACTCCTCTGAGAGTGCCATAATCTGGTCAGTTTCGTTTGAAGCAAATATTTTGCACGCATTTGAGGAGATGGTATGCTATGAATGTCGCCACTGGTGTAAATCTAGCACTCTCAAGTGAAAGGCAAAATGGTCGTATTGCAGATGTTTCCTATAGCGATTAAAACAATAATTTTCTGAAATAAGACAATTCAAGTGTAAGTTCATCGCGTCAAACGCAGCAACAGTGAGTACGATACTGCCATATGAAGGATATGATAGTTATTGGTAATGTGTAAAAAGCATTGGTTTTTAATCAAACTGGATTTGAAATAGCACAACAATGACCCTTTGACCTTGACCTAGGAGTCTGACCCAATTATTGAAAACATTTACCCGATGATAACTTTTTATTTGATGCCTGGGCTTGCATAATTACCAGGTATATCCAAAAGTCATTTCTTTGGGTAACAACATTTTTTTATCTCTTGACCTTGGAGTTTGACTTGCATTTGAGAAACTTTAACCTTCGCATTAGGCTGCCATACGGGGTTATCAGTTTTCACAGACTCATTTTGTTTTTTTCCTGGTTTTATTATATTTCAGTTTCGTCTGCAGTAAGTTTTTAAAGATAGATTTACGTACTCTCAATTCATATAAAATCTTTGACAAACCTGGGGAGGAAATGAGTACAATCATGTTTATTCGATAAAAAGTTTGGTTATTTACCTATTTCTAAACGTTTTGTATTGTAAATATTTCATGTATTTATGGTGTTTTATATAAACATGAATATGAAAGCTATCAACCGAAATTTTCTTAATGTATGTTTCGTCTAAAAATCAAAATTAATTATGATTTGCACAAACGGTAAATGCATATCCCCATAAAAATACAATATGTATAAAAATTTGAAATGATTGAGTAATTAGCTTTTGAAACATTGCTTATAATCTTTTCTTATTTTCAGTGTTTAAAGTTTAGATTGTTGGAGGTAAAAATGTGGAAATAGGTGAAAAGTTGCGCAAACAAAGGGACACGCACTTCATACATATAAGTATTATTTAATTCTAAGTTGATGGTGACATTTAAATCGATTATATATGCATAAACCTGTATGAATATTCTCATACATTTTTTATTTTTTCATTTGTACTTTTTGAAATATTAAATATTATTTTTGTTCATAAAATTATGAGAATTTTTACAGTAATTAAAAAAAGATAAAATTGATGGGAAAAAATGTCAAGATTTATGTTATGAATTGACATTAAATTTTCTTTTGATTTTTAATTTCTTAAAATCTCATTCCTATTCCTTTTTTATACCTTTATTTCCAAAATTTGTAAAATGAATGTAAATCTAAGATAACATTTTAAAATGAGGGAATAGAAGGAATTATGATTTTTCAAACGTTGGAATATGTGGAATACAAGACCTTTGATTGTTTTCAAGCAAAAACCCAACTTTCAAAATCAAGACCAATATTATAATAAAGGGTGATTAAAACTGAAAACGCAGCTTTTTGGGGGTTGGGGACTATCACAAAATTAAATATTAAAAAAATATGTGGAAAAAACATCGATAATGCTTCATAGTAAAACATAGAAAATGATATACATGTACATGTTTTGTTGTTGTTGTTTTTTCAAACATATGAAACTATAGCTAAGGGCGAAGTTCAGTTTTAATAATTCGGCGGAGGGGGGTAGATAGTTTTAGTTTTTATAAAATTACGGGTCCTTTAAAAGTGCACACCATTGTTGTATAGACCAAGGCCTTTTCATCCTTTATTTGCATCTCGAAGCATCTCATTACCGTACTCCTAATGGTCCGTTTGACTCATAAAACATTCATCTAAAGATACATAACTTTAAGCGATCTGTTTTGTAACAAAATGGTAGATTGTCCGCAGATGTTGCACCCTCCATTATTATGGGGGATATAATGTGAATTATTCCGTTTGATGCATTATACAGTTCATTACATTCACAACGGTATTCAGAATGTTTGCGAATCGATATAAACCTTATAGTCATGGGAATATAAAAACAGCTGCAAAAGATCTTAACTTCGATTATTTTCACAATACTTTTAGATAAGCGTGCCATACTTTGACAAGTGGAGTTGAGAGACCTGTTTTACCTTACTGAATCATATGTGTTTTACCCTGCTTACACATATTTAAAAAAAATGAGAAAATGGACGTCGACCCTTTCCAATGATAAGCTGCACATTTTGAATATTGGAGTAAATGCTCATCACTAATTTTCTATGAAAATTAATGGATTTGATTTTATCCCTGTAATTTTATCTGAATTCTATCACGTATTTTATCAAAGTGAGAAGAACATGTAATAAGAATTCTGCAAAAATTAAAATACTATAATAAAACAACCACTCTTTCTTTTTTTCTTCGCCAGCTGTCAACTGGACGCAGATCTCTATCGATTTCTTTGGGGGAAAGGATGGACACAGGGAAAGGAAGTCTTCTTATCACATAGCTTCTTTCCTCCGGAACAAACGACAATCGATGCTATGACGTAATCTTGCTGTATTTTATGATAAACTTGTCACTTATCTCGATGATCCGTCCAATCGATGACTAGGAACTCGAGCCCCTTCAGCCAGTCAGTATATCCATGTTACCAAAATATAAAGCCTTACGTGTCTGTAAGGAAATCAGAAAACCAGACAGGCACTTATTCTACAGCTACGGACTGTAATGAGCGTTTGAACAACATTCGGACATACGAAATGTCGATACTGATAAAACCAGTCGCTCATCACTTTATGATTGAAGAATGCATCACATTTCGCTTTTTGATTACTTTATGTCTCTTATTTAACCCATAGCTTTGAAATTACTACTACTACACCTAAATATACATGTATATGCATTGTTTTCATATGTTGGCGAAAAAAACTCATCGCAACGTTAAGAATGTGGCAGTGAAGAAAAAGAAGTGAAGATACGAACAGAGCTCACATTTACATCTTTCTGTTAATAACTTCCATGTGTAGACTGTTAGTGGAGGAGTCGAGGGGAGACTTTTTAAAATATATGTCATGTATCAATATGATATGTTACTTGGTTATATTTTAAAACCAAGTAACATATCATATTAATACATGACACTAATTTATACATGTATATTCACATTTCTTAGTTATTTTTCATGTATATTTTTTTAAGATTTAAGACACAATGTGCACAAATGTGGCTTTAATGAAAAATCAGTTAGACACGTCTTGATGACTAAAGGGTTATTAAATTTGAATAACTGGACATTTTGCAGCCAAAAGTAGCGGACAGCTTTGTAGTGGAACACCAAGGTTACACATACAAGGCAAACGAGTCAGGAATGTGTATCTATTAGGTTAGCTAATAGCTAGACTAGTTGGGCTATTTATTTATAAGGGTATGTGAGCCACTATTTTATGAAGGATTAGCTATAAAGTTATAAATATTATCAGAATTTAACCTAATATACCGGCATTATCATGTTCATGCAGAAATGTACAATGTTTCTGGATACCAAGGCCTTCAATGATTCAAGACAAACCAATTTTTCAACAGGAAGCAATGTATTAACTTGCACAAATATATTACATCAAAATAACAAATGACAAAAATATATCTTTCATGAAATAATATTTATACTTCAAACTGACTCTTCTTTGATTTTCATTTGCATTTTCCTCTCACAGATCACATATATCGACATGTGTAGTGTAAACGATTCATATTAAGGAATTCAAACAAAACTGTATTCGTTAAAGCGGATTTCTGATTTTCATATACTGGGAGACTGGATCTGACAACAACCATGCATTCGTTAAAAATGTCGTCTGCTCACAAATTCCCCACACACAGGAAGCAAAAATTGAGTACTCAATATGGCAATAACCAATGACATGCTTCGTTACATGGGCGACATCCAATGATAAGTACTGTAACATGACCTGCACAAGTGAATTTTTGGACGAATCCTGAATGCACCCGGTAGTGGTTGTATGACATCATTGCACTATAATCCCGGTGTTAAAAAAAATAAAACACTAAGACACTCCATATGCTACATGACACTGCAACACTTCTTTTGTTTTTTCTTGTCCTTGAAATTAACATCGTTAACAACATTGGGTTCTACCTCCAGTTTTACAGATTCTGGCGTCACGTTTTTATCCTCTACTCCATTTTGCTTTGGCTGAATACTGACCGGTGAAGACTGAGATTCGTTCACTTTAGTCTGAGTTAGGCTTTCCTCAAGAACTGGCTGGGCGCCATTAGAATTGTCTTTGCTTACTTTGGAGGTGTCCTTCTCCTTGTTATCGTTCAGAATGAACGTATCACGAACGATTGTAGCTCGTTTTAAAATGTCTTCTGCTTCTTTGCACAATTCACCATCTGGTTTGAAAGGATTGTCCCTGCTCTCTAAGCTAAAATGACAAGAAAATCATTCATTAGTACTTGTATGTAAAATTTGAAAGCCTGATTTAAAATAACAAATACCTAGTTAATTAATAAATACACAGACACACCATGAACTAGGGTAGCTATATTTCTCCATCATTAATAAAGAGAATCATCATTTGTATGTTGGATAAAACAGAATTTAAAAATGCTGCAAGGTAACTGTTCCCTGCTGACGTTTCAGCATTTTAAATCCTATGGTATCTGAGGAGAAGCCTTCATAAAACGGATCATATTGTCGACCCCAATCAATTGACGGAGGATCTGATTTGTCTTTGGGCGGCTCTATCTTATCTATTTTTGATGCGAACTCCGCATAATAGAGCATATGATGTATCTGAATTTTCTTGCTTATGTGTTATTTTGTAATTCCATAGATTTCCGGTTACATCTACTAATCAATATGAAATACACAGATTCCGAAGAACGGCGGGTAATCAATAAATGGCATCAACAGAGATGAAATTCCAGACTCTGTTCATCTGGAAAAATCTCCATAACACCACTCAGTAGTCCACGCTCTTCAAAATTTTTTTTCTATATTACGGATCCTTCCGCTTCAAAATAGTTAGAAATGATTTGTTGCCAAAAGGCGACTTCCACAGCGCAGTAACAAGTGTTACATCTCTCACACCCCTTTGCTGTTACTTGCGGTGTAGCGGAATTAACATCTGTAATCAGATAAGCTTGTAATAAGAAAAGCCTCGATTTGTTTGGCTATTTCAGCCCTAGGGCTCTACTTATTACCAGCTATCTCCTAACTTCTTTTCAATATATTTTGTCGATAAGCAGGTAAATGACACCTTGTCATTCTAACGTGTTTACATTTTCCGCTTCCTGTTGTTCTCAATTAAAATTTAATACTGTAATATGTATAACATGACAGAAAGTCATTATTACATGTAGCATCTTTTTCCTTAAGGACACAGATGACTTTACGTCGCTTGCAAAATTATACGACTAAAATAGGCGATTTCATTTTTACAGAAGTAGGCATTCAAGCAATGTAATGACATGTTTATAGTTTATTGTACCAAAAGCAAGCAAAAATTGCAGAATTCTGTACCAATCCACACATTATATATTTCTTATGTTTTCAACCGTTAAGCGACTATGACATGCAACATAATAGTCTAATTACATAAAAAGATTAACATCTAACTGCTGTAATTCAAATAGAGCATAAGGAAGATAGGAGAGAAAATGTTATCTACACAATTACGACTCTTGGTACATAAAACGGGGTTGGTATGCTCCTACAACGCTTAGAAACAAGACCCAAACGGGGCAAACCACAGCACCAGACGTAATGCCTTACACGACAGGAAGTTTCCGCCCGAACTGATAAGAACAACGAACGATAGAGTCTGGCTGCAGAGGGTTATCATAAGCTGCTATTTTACAAAAAGAACATACTAGACCAAGAATGCAGTCGAAAACTAGAGAGAGAGAAAAGTATCGGACATAAGAATTAGTTAAAACACACTCACTTAAACCAAGAAATCAATAAAATAATTCCCCCCAATCAATACACTAAGCAGGACGAATTAAGTAAGAGATACATTAATCGATGTAAAGAAATGGTAGGGTCAGAAGACCTGCATTGTTCGCCATTGGATAAGGTGACCTACCTCCCTTCACGCGTGTCCTCCATAGTACCACTCCAAGACAAACCTACAGAAGCATCAATATGTGTTGTTTCTATGGTAACTGCAGAATTTATGTTAATCTAATAACTACAACTGTCACTAAGTCGTTGCATACAAAGTAGTTATCCTCTGACAAAAAGACGGCAGGCAGTCCGTGTTGTTTACACTGCGGAACCTGCCTCCTCCTCAGAGCTAACCACTTCTACAGCGCCTTGAGCCACCGTAAGTCACGCTTCATCTACGACCCCTATCGGCGTTAATCATTCACTGTTTTGCCTGATTCTTTCACATAAAATAGCATCACTCTTATCACCTTTACAACCCGTTAGAGGAAAACAATACTGTGCATATAATGACCCTTGCTACGGCTGCTGAAAAGAGTGAATCAATTACATGCCGGGCGTTGTGTAACTCGGAAGGTCTTGCTATTTTTCGTATTTATGCACGATTACATGTTATTCGCATGTAATTAGAAACAGAGACACATGCTTCGTTCTACAAGGCGTCAACAAACGATTATTTCATGCACAAAACACTGCACCACATGGTATTACTCAACAACACAATCTCTGGCAAATGATATCGAAGCAACAACTTTCAGGTCAATAAATTATACAAAAACAATAATCTTTGTACGTTTTTTTTTCTTAAATGGAAACAGTAGGAAACCTATTAATGTTAGCTCAAAGCCTATTTCGTTTTTTGATTACATTCACTCTGCGACCTTACAGCACCATGATTCGACACCGATCTTTAAACATATTTCACAAATGCTTCAAAAGTATATATATAATAAAATGAATGTTATATACGATGCCTTTTCAGTTAGTTAGTTAGTTCAGACTTCAGTTCTTTTTCTTGTATTTCATTAACCTTTATTCCTGAAAAATTATTTGATTTTCTTCATGTTACTAAATTATTCAAATAAATGATCATGAATTGCATATATAAGATTTGTAAAGACTGAAGAGTAAATGGATCTACAGTGCATGATTACATGTATATTCCCTGTACCCAAAAGCTGATGCCCTCAATTGGAAAACAAGCCTAACAGATCACGTGATAAAAATATAAATATGACATTTGTATATTACATTGTATTATTATATTTCGCGTATATTTTTCAAAACTTAATTATAACCTTATCGTTATGTCAGTGTAAACAAAAGAAAGTCCGTTCATGTCAGTAGTTGATTACCTTGAAATGATAAAGGAAGCTTTAAACACCAGTGGAACAATGGAGCACGGTTTGATTTGTTTTGAAGATGTAAAGTGTACAGTTGTACACTTACATGTTCAGGAAAACGAAGCATTACTAAACAGAAACCGCTGTTACTTACAATAGGAATATACAAGCAATGATGATCTTGGTCTTATATCAAATGTGGAGAATACTTAATCTTTATTCAAATAGTATAATTTACTGTGGATATTAACTTACAAGTTTGTATCAAAGAGCAGATCACTCTAACAGTATTAAACTACTTGGTATATCAAAGGATACGAACTCTTCAGCATGTAATGTTGAAAGCTACCTTAAATTCTCTTTACACAAAGGAGTTACGATTCGGTGGTATATTTATGCAGGTAGAGTGATCTGTCCGAAGAAGAAATATAAAACATTGAAATGTAGCTTACTAAACAGATCATATATTTGCACGTTCCCAAAGTTAACAAGTGATTACTTTTAAGCAAAACTTATTTGTCTTAGAAAACTTTTCCCCTGGAAAAAAAATTTTCCCCCAAAATTTTTTTTTTGCAAAGGGGGTCCCGAGGATGGCAAGGACTAAAATAAAAATGAAGGGTTTAGTATTTTAAAAATTATAGTATGTTTTAAAAACTTTTCAAAGAAAAAACAAAAAACGGTTTTAAACAATAGCAAGTTAAAAAAAATGCATTAGTAACTGTTTTAAAAATTCCACGGGAAAATAAACCCCCAAACATTAAGAAAGCCCCCAAAATTATAGAACGATCCAAAAATTTGGAAATTAAAACTTTAGCATAAAAAAATGCTCCCCAAAACAATTTCTTGCAAATTCCCCTAACATAAAAAAAATTATGGAATACCTTTAAAATTCACATTCTAACAAATGAATTTTCCCAAAAAAACCTGGCCCAAAATTTTTAAAAACAGTACCTTTTAAAAAAAATTTGCAAAATTTTCCAAAATTACACCAAAAATTTTTTAAAAAATTTCAATTTCTTTAAAACATTTTATTTAAAGGAAAAAAATTGCCAAATATTTTTTCTTTTACTGGAAAAGTTACGCAATTTTAAACAATTTTAAAGAAAGAAAATTAAGATAACGGAAGTGAATTTCTAATTTTAAATTTTTTACCAAAAAATTAAATATTTTAAAGAGAGACAGAACCCTTTTTAATTTAAGGAATGGGGTTTGTGAAAAAAGTTTAACTCCCCTGTTAACCCACTGCTTACAATTCTTAGACAAAATTTCTTCCCAAACCCTCAAAAAAATTTAATTTGAAACAAAGTTATTTTTTTAAAGAAAAATCCCTCAAAATAAAATTGGGGTTTTCCCAAAGACAGGAATTTTTTTTAAAAATAAATACAACCCCGATTCCCAAATCCCAAAAAAAAAGCAAAACACACCCAATTCTTTTCAATTGCTTTCCAACCAAAGGTATTAATTGGGTTTTAAAACATTCACGAAAAAATTTCCCCAAATTTTAAAACCCGAAAAATAATGCTTGCTTCCCCTTTAAATTCAAAGCAACTTTTTAAATTATAGAAAAAAAAGGCCCCCAAAACCTGGCCAACCCTTTTTCCCAACCACAAACAATGTTTCAAAATGTCCCCGGGGGGGTTGCCCCCGGGGAAAGGGGCAAATTTTTATAAATAAGTCCTTTTTGTTTCCGGCCTTTTCATCGTTAAAAAAAAAAAATATTAAAATTTTTGTCAAGTCCAAGATAAATTTTTTTAAAATTC